AAACTTACAATGTTTGCTGCTGTGTTGTTCATGTGCGCTGTTTAATTTTCTGTCCGCCAATGACTTCTGATTTTATGAAGGAAAAAAAATAAGACAGATGACAGCATAAAAATAGCTTTTTAATCTTGTAAGTAAGAGGAGAACTCATGACTACTGAAATAGTTACCTGAGGATGAGAACTTTTTTTGTTTTTTTTCCCCCTGTCATAGGAGATTTTGCTGTACTTCTAAAAGCTGGTATGACTGTCAAGCAAGCTGTGCTTTATAATGCTCTGTCCGCTATGCTGGCCTATCTTGGAATGGCCACTGGGATTCTTATCGGTCATTATGCAGACAATGTTTCAATGTGGATATTTGCACTTACTGCTGGCTTGTTCATGTATGTGGCTCTTGTGGATATGGTAAGTAGCTAGACCTACTTGAATTTATATAACATCATTTAAGAATTAATCCTAATTATATTTTGATCTCAAATTCTTCCATCTTTTTTCCCCTCAATTACCTCTTTCTGTGCTTGAATGTGCTGATGACTACGCAGTGTAAGTGCTCAGTTAAATGTTCAGATGGAAGATCGCTTTTTTTTAGATTACTGTAGGAACAGAGAATTTCTCCCTTAGTTGTGAAACAGAAGCAGTTAACAGCAGAAGTAGAGTAAAAAATTTGCTTCTGACAATGGCTGGAATAGCAGATAGCCAGTAAGACTGCAAGTTGCACACTCGGCTCCATCAAATGTGCTTCGGCTTTTGCATTAAATCATTACTGCTTCTTGGGATGAAGACAGAATTGTATTAAAACCTGTATTGTACCTCAGAATTGTGTTTGTATGGAAGTACAAAGTAGTGAAAGCTTAACTATCTTAAGAATAAAATTCTTGGTGTGGCTTGATTAAATCAGTTGGTAAATAAGTCAGCAATTTACTCAGGATATGATTAAGACATCAGCATAATTATCATGAAAACAGTAATTAGAACATTACAGTCTCTAAATATGAAAGTAGACTCTGATTGTGTTGTTCATGTTGAGTGACTCCTAATTCGAGGAGTAGTGTTAATCCCGTCAACAGGAAAGACCAGAGGAGTAAGAGTCTGCTACCTTATGCTTTATGGTTGAAGAACTGGGTTTGAAGCAACTGTTTATTTTGAAGGCATTTAATGCTTTCTCATTTATTTAGGTGCCTGAAATGCTCCACAATGATGCCAGTGATCATGGATGTAGCCGCTGGGGATACTTCCTGTTACAGAACGCTGGGATTCTGTTGGGTTTTGGGATAATGCTGCTTATCTCTGTATTTGAACATAAGATTGTATTCAGCATAAACCTGTAGGTTGCCAGGAAGACAGCTTGGTGTTAAATTATAAGTGGTAGGTTTTTTTCTATTAAATTCCTTAATGAAAAGGTACGTTTGATATAGACTAGATATTTTTATTGATGTGCTTTGTTGTTGTGTCCCTCCCTTTTTCCCCTGATAGAACTGGACACTAAGGTGTTGGCTTTTTTTTTTTACTTAGGATTTAGTATTGCATATGGTACCGTGGAAAGTTTTACTTAGTAAAACATGGTGAAAGTGCCAAATCTATTAAAGGAGTATTGTCTGGGAGGTTAGGGGTTTGTTTTTTGTAGTAAATTTATTTACTGTATGTAATTATATGGAACATTTTTTTTTACTTCAATGGTTTTGTTGGTTTGAAGAAATGACAGTGGTTTTATTTTAGCACAATCAAAATCAGTGGATACAAAGCACAGTGAACAGTGTAAAACAAGAAAAAAAAAAAACACCTGTAGTGGGTAGGATATGGTTATCTTCGTAGAAATGTCTGTTCTGCATCCACCTAGTTTACACGGAGTGGCAGATGAGTCCACTTCATCCTTTTTGCGGTGGTTCTTCTCTCAATAGCTTGTGGTTTCTTTGTCTTGTTCCAACTGGTTTCTACTTCAAACAAATTCTTGTGTAATCCCACTTTAAGTGTTTGCACCAAATGTTTTCCTTGTTTCGTCCCTTCTGATGTGAGTTGCTCTTCACCGATTTCTCAAATTAGCAATGAAAGTACAGCTATTAGATTGTATGAGCATAGATCTAGCTCTAAAATATGTAAATTGCGTCAAAAAGACTTATAAGTAGTCCTATATCCCACTTATGCTGCCTGAAATAGCAAAGGTATATAAAGTCATCAAGGGGAGGAGTGCTACAGGCTGAGACAAATAGTCACCTCAGCAATTTCCTTAAGTGTTGATTTACTTTGGGAAATGAGCTGGAGTGGGAGGGCTGACTACCTCTAGTTCAGTGTGATTGCACACAAACCTGTGCTTGCAAAACAGTTATGTTCTTTGCAACAACTAAAGCTGAGAAATCTAGAACAGCAAAATTTCTTTGACAGCATATATTGGGAAGCAGCATATTAAGGATAATTATAAGTGTCTTAATATTCTAATCACTCTGAAAGTAACTGAAGGATGGAGAAGGATGAAAAAGACAATGGCAAAATAAATAAATTCCTCATTTTCAGGAAAGCTAAACTTTAAACAACTTCTAGATAATGAATAAGTAACAGAACTGTAGTAACTTACCTAGCTAGCTTTAAAAATCCCAGAGATAAACCAATTAGAACTTATTTCTGATTCAACTTTACCACTGCTTCACATCATCAACTGAATAAAAAGCTTGAACAAAGAGGAAGTGTTTGATAATACTGTGTCTAACAGGTTAAAACAGTCAGAAAGCAAAAACGACTGTATTGCCTCAGAAATAGATGTTTGGAATGAATTGAGGTTTGTGTTTTGGTTGGTGGGTTTGTTTTGGTTTTTTAGCTAGTTAAGAAATGGAGATTGCAGGAGTTTCTGCAAACAGTGGAATCTTGGCTTTTCCTCCTCCTTCAGTCTTTCCTCAGGTTAACAAGACTGAGATCTGCTCATCTTTCCACAGTGATGAAATCCTGTTCCCTGTCTCCTTCGAAGTCGGGGGTAGGGAAAGGTATACTTCCTTCAGCTCTGCTGATGCATCTTGAGGGGAGCACTAAGCTGTGGTGGGTCTCATCAGCTCCCCCCGATCTGCCTGTGTATGCACCTGTATCTGTCTTTGCTTGGTGAGCAGCTGTGTGGAGGAGAGAAGAACAAACTTCTCTCTTGGAAGCACTCATTTTCTTCTCCCCGACATACTTTCCATCGCTACAAACTGCTCTGGTGCTGGGCTTTCATCTCTAACAAGAACACTGACAAAAGCATTCCTTCCCTTCATCAAGCACTTTACAGTTTGTGTTTCTTTTATTCTATGCTGTTGCATTTTGATTAAATCTCTGGACTACTGTTAGAAGCACAGCTCTGAACAAAGGGCGGATGCAGTCTGCCAGAGGAGTTCCTCAACTTGAGGTGCAGAAGAGTCATGCTGTGGTACGGTAGCCATCTGCTGAATTTTCATAGCATCTCCTTTGATCATGCATCTTGTGCTGTTTTTACTCTGTTACAGCAGTTGTATTCCACTGTTCCCAAACTTGAATTGGTAGTATCTGTGACTATGATGAAAAATGGATATACATCTCCCCATTGCTTCTGTGTCTCTGAAGAGATGGTAACTTCTATTTTTTTTTTTTTCAAAGGATCTAAATTCCTATGACACTTCTGCCCTTACCTGTGCTATAACCACTTCCTCACTTTGTAGCTAAAACGATGGCTAAAACACAGCTGCTGATCCTCATCTTTCCTTTGCTCAGATACCAGAATCTTTGGCTCATCGAAAGCTGTTCAGTTTCTGGTGTATGCATGTCCCAGCTTTCTTTAGGAAAACAGAAAACTCAACCCTACCCCAACACAGACACACATTGAACCTGCCAAAACTGAATTTTTCATGCCTTTTCCTGTACTGACCTCCCACCTTGGCAGTCCCACCTCATTCCAGATTTTCCAAAACGTGGCTGCTTTTCCTTTGGCAGTCTCTTCCTGATGTATCTGTTGCAGTTGAACGTGCCTCTCTTTGGAGTGGTCTGACTTGACCCTGACCTGTGTAAATGACTCTTGCCTTTGCTGGGGGTGATGGTGCTGGTCACCACGGGAGCTGATGCGCCTCAGTTTGTGCTCCTGTACTGCTCCCCACGAGCAAGGTGAATTCCTGGGGAAAAAACCCTCAGTACGGCTTCACTTCCCCTTCCCTCCAAACCTCTCATCACAGCGCTGTTCCGCTGAGATGAGGTGTCTGAGATGTGACATCACTGCATCCTAGTGGGTTTTGTAGGGCTTGGGTACTGTGTTTAGCGGGGGTCTGGGAAGCCACCATAAATTGCGTGGGCTGTAGCCCGTGGGTCTTTCTCCTTCTGTCCTGCACCCTCAGCCCTTAAAGAAATCGGGCCTGTGCCATCTCCTTGGTTATGAGGGATTTTGGACTTGGATGGGTCCCACCTCAGTTCACTTTGAGTTTTTTACTCATGGTTTCTGTTAGCCTGCAGCCTTCACAGCTGCTTGTTCAGCTGGGATTTTCTTGCCTGGGTGGTGGGTGTGAAATGGGAAGCAGGCTTGTTGCCCAAGGGATTTTTAAGATCAGTGATTAAACGATGGAGATAAATCTACAAGTTTCAGTCAGTTCTTGGCTGGTGTTTGATGTAATCAACTGACATTAAAATATGTGCGTATCGGTACGCATTGTTAAAGTAACAACCTGAAAAATAAACCGCCTTTAGAGCATGTGGGCAGAAGTGGCTGGGTAAGCGAGGCAGGAGCACATCCCACCCATTCTGTGGCTCTTTAATGCTTGGTGGAGAGATGTCCATTATGGACAGCTGTCCAAACTACTAGTTGAAAAGACTGTAGAGTGAAATCTCCTGTAGGCTTGTACCAGCAAGATGACAACAGGTTGGGTGGTTTTTTTTGTTTTAGTTTCTCAGCCTTATAAAGTAAACTGCATCTGTAGCAATGTACTCGCATTGAAAATACTTGTGGTTTGGCAAACGGATGGGGCAGAGGCCTCTGAGCAGCCCTTTGGTGTTCTGCATATATTTTTCTGCAGCAGTTTGTAACATGCCCGGCTATTCCAGCAGGTAAATGGAAGTGTGTCTGTCTTGTGTATCCATCTGTATCTTAATTATGGTACAGACCTTAATTCTACAAGCTGTTACAGCTGCCTTATTTTGTGCCTGTGCTAGGTGCAGGTAAGCAGAGTAGGCAAACAATGCTGGACTCAAAGTTGTTTTCTTTGTAATGTGTTCTTAAGCTTTTGGCCTGAAAAGGTGTCGTGTGCAGTTACTGTATGCAGCGAGAGTCAAAACAAAGGTGTGGAAGTTCTCACCTGCGGTTCCGGGACCCTTTCCCTGCCCCGTTGTGGCCGGGGCACCTCAGAGTGATGCCAAATGTCTGGTGGGACATTGCATTTAAAATACGGTGAGGGCTGAAGTGTAATTCACAGCAGCTCTCCTGCTGCCTCAACTGGGAGAGACCGGCATCGTTACAGTTTCTGTGGAAAAACTGGGTCCTTCTCTTTGCCACAAGCAAGAAGCAAAAAGATGTTTTTGTGAAACGTGTGGTTATTGAAAAGATTTTTTTTTTTTTTTTGGTCCATATATGATCACGGTAGCTGTTACTGTATTGCTGCGTGCTAGAGAAAATAAACCACTGAACCAAACGCTGCCTTTTCCCGTGTTTTCTTCGTTGATTTACCTTCTTGGGGAAAAAATTAAATGAAAAAAATATTTTTTTTTTTTTTTTTT